TTTAAAATTACCAATTGATTTTGTTGTATAATTTACATTGTATACCTGGCTATGCTGGCACAGAGAGCATACCATGCAAATTAATTTAAAGGAACACTCCAACCACCATAGGCACTAAGAGTGTTGTGAAGTCATTATGGTTCCAGAAGTGCCCTGGCAAGCCCCAATGTAAGCAGTAAAACTGTTTAAGAACAATATGACTTCTTACCTGGACACCGCCAAGCATCTTCTTCTTCACTGAGTTAATCTCTGCAATGCCAGTGAGGTAAGCCCTGCAGTGCTGGGTTTAGCTAAGACAGAGAGCTTCCAGCTCTGTTGGCTGTAATGGAGACAGGGACTGGCACCCTGTGGTCCCCAGGTAAGAAGACAAACCAAAATGGTTTGATTACTTACAACAGTGTGTGCCAGGGCACTCCTAATACCATAACTACTACATTGCACTGTGGTTGGTGCTTGGAGTGTTCCTTTAACTCATGTGTGCTGTGTGGCACTTTGAAAAAATGCCAAAGCACTCATGCACTCAAATGGCATTTCTCAACAGATGCACGAGCGTGTATGGACGCGCCCGGAGCATCATGGGTCAGTGATGCTTCCCTGGACAAGGAAGAGCTTTAGAGGTATGTGTGCTTTATACTTACCTAAGATGTACTACTCACCACAGTAAACACTTCAGTAGTAAGAGAATGAGGAACTATCACTTTTAGAGGCGTGATAGTGTGCGTGTGTGTATATATATTATTATTATTATTGGTATTTATATAGCGCCAGTTTATGCCGCAGCGCTTTACAATAAAAGGGGAATTTACCAAATGAGAGAATAACAAAGTGTAACAGGAACAATAGGTAGTTGAGGACCCTGCTCAAACGAGCTTACAGTCTAGAGGAGGTGGGGTATAAACAGGGCCGGTGCAAGGATTTTTGCCGCCCTAGGCAAAAGAAAGATTTTGTGTAAGGGATGTATTGTGTGTTTCTTGTTGTGTGTAAGGGATGCATTGTGTGAATCTGTGTTTGTATGCATAAGGGATGCAAAGTGTGTTTCTGTGTATGTAAGGGATGCAGTGTGTGTGTCTGTAAGGGGTGCGTTGAGTGTGTGTAAGAGATGCATTGTGTTTCTGTGTGTGTGTAAGAGAAGCAGTGTGTGTTTGCATGTGTGTGTAAGTGGATGCATTGTGTGTTTCTGTGTATATGTGCAAAGGATGCATTGTCTTTATGTGTAAGGGTTGCGTTGTGTGTTTCTCTCTGTGTAAGGGAAGCATGTTGTGTTTCTGTGTGTATAGGGATGCATTGTGTGTGTGTGTGTGTGCGCGTGGTGTGAAAGAGCTCCCTGTCCTGCCCCCTGTCCTATAGAGCTCTCCCTTCCATTCCTTAGAGATCTCCCCTGCCCCTTAGTGGTCTCTCCTCTCCCCCCCACCTCCCTTAGTGGTCTCCTTTTCTCCCCGACTTTGCATTAGTGGTCTCTCCTCTCCCCCAACCCTCCCCTAGTGGTCTATCCTCCACCCCCCTCCCTTAGCGGTCTCTCCTCACACCCCTCCCCTAGTGGTCTCTCCACCGGCCCCTCCCTCCTTTAGTGGTCTCTCCCTCCCCTACATTGTCATCTCCCACCCCCCGTGTTCTCCTCTTCTTCTCCCCCCGTGTTCTCCTCTTATTCCTCCCTCCCTGTGTTCTCCTCTTCTTCTCCCCCGTCCCTGTAATCTCTTCTTCTCCCTCCTGTAATCTTCTCTTCTTCTCCCCCCTCCCTGTAATCTTCTCCCCTCCCCCCATGTAATTTTCTCTTCTTCTCCCCCCTAGATGGGCCGAATGGTTCTTATCTGCCATCACATTCTATGTTTCTATGTTTCCTTCCCTCCCTGTAATCTCTTCTTCTCTCCCCTCCCTCCAATCTTCTCCACTCCCCCCTCCCTCCAATCTTCTTCTTCTCCCCCCTCCAAATCTTCTCCACCCCCTCCCTCCAATCTTCCACTTCCTGCCTCCTCCCACCTTCTTCTTCCCCAATCTCCACCCCCTCATGCAATCTTCTCTCCCCCTCTCCCTATAATCTTCTCCCCTTCTATAATCTTCTCCCTCTCCCCCCTATAATCTTTCCCTCTCCTGTTACATTCTCTCCCCTTCTCCCCTATAATCTCTTCCCCTATAATCTTCTCCCCCAGTGTAATCTTCTCCCCTCGCTTCCCTCTATAATTTTCTCCCTAATAATCTTTTCTTCCCCTCATATAATCTTCCTGGCACTCAGGCTCAAACATTACATACCGGGATCAATCCTGATGAAAGTCCTAAGAGAGGACTGAAACATTGATCCTAGACCTTATGTTTTAATTCTTGTTGAATAAAGAAGATTTTTAACTGAAGACGGTGAGTGATATCTAAAGTCCCAGGTTAAAGCACCCGGCAAGTATACTTTACTATTATAGCCTGAGTGCAAGGATTTTTCATTATTTTATATATATATATATATATATATATATATAATTTCATTCTAAGTGTTCTCAGTGTATTTTGATACATATATACACATTTAGAATGAAATTATATAAATACATTCCATGAAAGAGCACACTCAAAGGTCTTTGTAGGAATTATTCTTCTGCTTTACTGTGCACTGATAACAGACAAATTGTGTCAACGTTTCAGTCTTTTTAGATTTCAAGAACTTGAATTGCATTTAACACATTTTATTTCTTTACATATGTTTCCTGGTAGCAATACACTTTTTGTTAGGATAATCTACCACACTGCTGAATTTGACTCATGGAAATGTCATAGATGATGAACGTAATTCTTTCTAATGGTGGTGCTGCTTGAGCAATATAAGAAAGCTTAATAAAATGATATAGTTAATGCAAATAACAGATACAGGTTTGAGAAAGTTCTGTTTACTAAACTTAGAGATAATGCTATATATGCACCAGCACTGTCATCATACATGGACAGTCTACTTGCCCCACCACAGAATTCTAGAATAGGCATACAATTTGGTCTTCTTCAGATATACTACTAACATAATTCAGACACATTAATTATGATGGTTAATAAGTAATGAATTTCAAATTTCAGGCTAAAATAGCTGAGCTGAATACACACTATTTTACTTAATCACTTTCAAATTACCGTGTTAGTCCCTTAAAGTCACACATTACAACCTTGACAATATGTATTATAAATTCCAGGTCAGTGGGCTTAAAATATTTTTTAAGGGTATAGGCTGAACATCTTGCATGGTATCCAGAAAAGATAACAATTAAATGTCTAACAATTACTTTAATTTTATATTACAATGTGTCTTTGTATTGAATTTATTATAGAACTTATTTAACTTATGAAATAGAACTTGTTTAATTATTCCTTCCATTCCTTCCTGTTTACAGGCCCTCTTGCTGCCTGTCTGATCTGTTGTCTTTGTTGCCTTTTCGGACCATGACCTGACAGTCATTATTATGTCTTTTATCTTCTTTTTTTTTTATTAGACCAATCAGGCATGACATTTGGCTTCTTAGAGATCCTATCCATTACTTTGTCAATAGACTAAGCTGATGTAATGCAGGCCAAGTGTCAACATAAGGTGAGGCATAAAATCAACCACAATCTAAGCTAATAACCCTGCTTGGAAGTTAATTAAATACTTGTTAGTAGCAGCAGGACAGATCCTAATTAAACGTGTCTAATAACAGAGTTCTGACATATGCTGACGCTGAGAATTCCAACAGGGTTTAAATAATTGTACAAAGGGCAATAATACCTGTCACATCATGGGGCCCTGGATAACCCTAAAGATGTACATTTATCTGTATTTTTATGTACTAATTGCCCCATAATGTGCACAGCAGGACTGTGTTTTTAATTTACACACATTTTAATTTCAGTGTCTCTAGTCTTCAGAAAAGAATTCCTTCGTTAGGAAAGGAAGAGACACACAGTACATGCAATATAGAAAGGGCAACTGTTCAGTAGGGAATTATATGGGGGTTTTTTTTCTTTAGCTTTAACAGTATGGGTGATTATTCATAGATGAACACAATATGATGTTCATATAATAATAGAGTTGTATAGGAAAATTATTTTTTTATTATTAAAAAAAATATGCAGATTAAGTAATCTTTCAGTATATGGGAGATTTAGAAGTCAAAAATATTTCGATGAAATGTGTGTACATTTATCTATCATGTTTGATGCATGGTGAAGGGGAAATTATCCACATTCCGCCTAACAAAAACTACATTTAAACCCTGTGCAATGTGTACCAAATACTTCTAGATAGCCATTATTATGACAAAATGTAAGCCATTCCACATGCAGCCACTGCCAGTTCACAAATGAGCATTGTAACTTACCACCATCCCTTATTGTTTTGTTTCTCCACTTTTACCTTTGTTATATGCTGATGTTATTTTCGTTTTGATACATTAACCATATTATTTGACTAGATAAACATGCATAATATTTTATTGTGGTTTCCTTATGATATTGCACTATTTGCACCTGCTTTTGTATTACACATCTAATGTGTACCTATTTATTAAAAGAATTTTAATTAGTGTA